CTATACACCCCATGTTAAGAATCCTTGCCTTGGCATTGCTTTTCCTAATCCTAGAAAACTGGAGGCCACTCTTCCAACCAGGAGAATGCTTTTACATTTTCCTGCAGTTTTTTCTCTCTTCTATTTAAACGACATATTGCCTAATTAACACCCTACTGATTTACATAGCAGATAAAGAGAGAGAGAACAGCAAAGAGGTGCAGAGAGCTGAAGCATCTGAGATAGGAAACAAGAGAGTCTGAAAGAGAGAAAGATAAAGCTTTGGTGGCTTAGTCAAATTTTTCCCTTGGAAGTGCCAAGGGGGGTGGTTTGCATTCACGGTGGGTGATGAGGGTGTGAAGGTGGGGACAGGCAATGTGTCAAGTCTCTGACTCTATTTCCTGCACTTTCTTAGCCCCCCTTTGATGGGGAGGATGAGGAGGAGCTGTTTCAGGCCATCATGGAACAGACTGTCACCTACCCCAAGTCACTTTCCCGGGAAGCCGTGGCCATCTGCAAGGGGGTAAGAGCCCCCTGACTCCCAGATTCTCCAGACTCATAACTCATGTGCGCTACTGCTGCCCCCAGGGCTGCCCACACTGTGTCTCTTTGCACATTAGGAAAAGGCCCCCACTCCTCAAATCACTTTACTTCCACCTGCTGGAAAAGTTTATACAGTACAGAGATTTTGTTAGAACAATAATTTACTGCCCTGCTGCCACCTCCAGTCCAAGGATGGCCTCTATCTCATCCTCCTCTGCTGTCCCCTCTCCCTGGCTCACTGTAAGAAGTGTAGGAAGGCCAGGACCACCTCTCCAGGAGGGAGCAGGTCAGCTGGACCCAAGTCCTGCCTAAGTCCTGGGGTTATGGAGTAAATGCAGGAGAAAGAACCTAGCCTAGAGCAGCTTTTCAACAGATGTTAGCACACTTCTGCTTCTCCGTGTCTCTCTGACTGTCTCTCTCTGGGTTTCTGTCTCATCCCTCTGCCTCCATCCACATATGATGGGGTTTTCTGTGTCTCTGCCTTCTCTCTGTGTCCTTCGGGATTTCTGCCCACCTTTGGCATCTTTGTCCCTCTCTCTCTGGGTCTCTGTTGCCTTCTTCCCCCCCCTCCCATACACACGTTCTCCGGATCTGTCCTCTGTCTGGACTTCTCTCCTCCTCTCTTTCTGGATCTCTGTCTTCCCATTTCTCTGAGTCCCTGCCCTCATATCGGGTCTTTTTCCCTCTCTCTGGGTGTTGGTCTCCTGGGTCTCCCTCCTCCTCTTTCTGGGCTCTGTCCCCCCCCCCATCTCCTCCATCTCCTCCCTTCTCTGGGTCTCTGCCCTCCCCCCTGGATCTCCCCTCTCTCTGGATCTCTATTCTCCCTTTTCTCTGGGTCTCCAATCTCTCCATCTCTCTCTCTCTTTCAATCTTTCCCTCCCTCCTTCTCTCCATCCCCTTCTGAGATTCTGTCCTTGTCCCCTTCCTCTCTGGGTCTCTCTGCCCCTCATACCCTCTCACTCTGATTTTCTCTTTCTCTATCTGTCCCTGGGTCTCTGGGTTTGGATTTCTTCCATCCCATCTCATTTGTCTTCCCTCTTCCTCTTCCTCTCTTCCTTCCTTCTTTTCCCTCCCTCCCCCGTTTCTTTTCCCCCTGCGATTCTTCTCTCTCTCCATCTCTGTGCTTGTGTCTCTCTGTTTCTCGGTCCTTGTCTTTCTCTTTCTCGTTCTCTGGGCCTCCCTGTCTGGGGCTCTGTCTGTCCGTCCGTCTCTTTCTGTGTTTCCCACAGTTCCTAACCAAGCACCCGGCAAAGCGCCTGGGCTCAGGCCCAGACGGGGAGCCCACGATCCGTGCTCATGGCTTTTTCCGCTGGATCGACTGGGAACGGCTGGAACGATTGGAGATCGCGCCTCCTTTCAGACCCCGCCCGGTCAGTCACCTTCAGGAACAAAACCTTGGTCCCTAGGGGGTGGGACCCAGGAGCTCCAATCCCTATATGTGGAGGTGGGTGTGATCCCTCTGCGGAGGGAGACATCTTCAGGGGAGATGCAGAGGCCACGAAGGATGTGCAGAGGTTCTAAAGAACACAGGACATGGATACAGAATAGACGCACACCCAAGGAGTGGGCAGAACTTCATGTCCCCCTCTCGGTGTTTCCCACAGTGTGGCCGCAGCGGGGAGAACTTCGACAAGTTCTTCACACGGGCGGCGCCAGCGCTGACCCCTCCAGACCGCCTAGTTCTGGCCAGCATCGACCAGGCGGATTTCCAAGGCTTCACCTACATTAACCCGGATTTCGTGCACCCGGATGCTCGCAGCCCCATCAGCCCGACGCCGGTGCCAGTCATGTAATCTCACCTGCCGCCACTAGGTGTCCCCATGGCTCCCTCGGCGGCGCCAGCCTCGGCCTCCACTTCACCACCCCCTTCCCGGTTCTAGATCTTGCTCCCCAGCCTTCTGGCCTCTGCCCCGGGGTTGCTAGATGCCCCACCCAAGCGATCCTGGCAGTCTGAACTCCATACAGTCTCTAGAGCCTTACTGCGTTCTAGATTCTGCTGCGCTGAGCCCTAGATTCTCACCCACCTCAGAGTTCTGGACTTTGCTCCTCCAGGTTCCAGAACCACCACCACCCCAACTCCATGGGGTTCTAGACTCCACCTTGGTAGAATCTCTGCCTTTCCTTTTTTTTGCTATCTGGAAAATAGTCTCATGAGGTGGGCTGTTCCAGACTCGAATTCCAGAACAACCCCCCACCTCCGAGGCCCCGCCCACCCCACTCCTTTCTAGAGTAAAAGTGGGAGGCTGTGCCCCCACGCTCCAGTGCCCCTCTTCCGCCCTCTGGGGATTCCGGGGATGTATGGAGGATTCTCCCCCAACTGTTCTCAATCAGCTTTTGTCCTAGATTCCCCCATCCTAAACCCATCACTGCTCGCCTGCCAGGTGCATGGCTCCAATCCTGCTCGAACCCCACCCCCACCCCAACGCCTGCCACTCTCGGGGACTCCCCTCCCCCCCCACTCCTCTTCTCTTTGCCTTTCCCACCCTACCACAGCTGCTGGAGAATAAATTTGGGATGCTGATACTGAAGTGTTTGGATGTTTTCTTCTAAGCTTGGAGCATGAAGGGGGTGCGGTGGTGGGACAATGACTGTACATAGACACAAACAGAGAGAGAGACAGACAGAGGCTGGGGACGGGGCAGCAGGGAGAGAGGGAAAGCGCAGAGACCCATAAAGGGAGGGGAGAAGACCACAGCATGAGAGCGAAAGAACAGAGAACCCGAGAGAGAAGATACCCCGAGAGAGACCCACAGAGAGAGAGAGGCAGACAGAGACCCAGAGAGAGAGACAGGCAGACAGAGACCCACAGAGAGAGACGAGAGCCACAGAGAGGACCAAAGTGACACATGCTCAGAAGGTAGAGATGTGCACAGAGACCACTGAGAGTGTCAGGTAGAGACCCCGGGCACAGAGACGCAAGCATGCGCATATTCACCCAGAGCAACACACAAGCTTACAGACACACAAATACACACTGAGACCCAGCGACCGGGAAGTCCCGAGACGGAAGATGAAAGACAAGCCTCCTCTAGAGAGACCCGCAGACTTGATCAGAGGGAGAGACCCTGAGACAGAGAAACCAAAACAACCAGAACCTGTGAGCTTAGGAATCAGCGACTGAGGCAGAAAGCAGACTGACGCGCCCTGGGGCCTCTTTCCCTTGACCCACTTGCGAGTGGGGGGAGTGGAGAGGACCGTCCAAATAGACCACACTTCCCAGAAGACACCGCAGCGGACCCTTCCCCCGAGTGCGGCCCCTCACCGCCAAGGCTGATGGGAAATGTAGTCCCTGGACACGGGCCGGCCAGTCGAATGTGCCTATGTCTGTGTGTTTGTGGGGACTGAGCCCCCAAGCCTCGCAGGCTCCCTCGAGACGCCTCGGCGTCTCTTCGTCCCTGCAGGCTCTTGGGTTTCTGGGATTCAGTCTAGTTGGATGCTGGGGCTCCCCCGAGCCCCAGCACCGCCGCGATACCCCCATCCGGTCTCCACGGCCCCCAGCCCCCGCTCCGACCCTCGGCAGGCGGCCTGCCCCTTTAAGAGTGGCCCCGCTGACATCACGGCGGGGGGCCTCCCACACCCGGGTCCCTGTCCTGCCCAGGGCCCCGGAGGGAGGACGATGGTCGTGGCAGTGGGGGGGGGGGGGGGGGGGGGGGCTGGCCCGGCTCCTGGCTCCGCGGAGGCTGCAGGACCCGGCTCTGCTCTGCGCCCGCCTGCTGCTCTAGGGACCCCGACCCGGGACGCCCCTTCCCGCCTCCTCCAGCCGCCCAGACCCCAGGCTCCTCCCCAGGCCTGTCCAAAGCCCCAGTCTTCATCAAGGGACCCCCAGGATTGCCCCTGCTGTCTCTCCTTCTCAGGTTCTCTCTCTCTCTCATTCTGCCTCTGTCTCTTTCCCTAGCTCAAGGTCTCTGGGTCTCAGCATCTCTCAGCCCGAGGCCTCTGAGCGCCTCCCTGTCTCTTTCTGCCTCTACCCCTCTGACTTCTCCACTTCCAGGGCCCCAGAATCTCTGAGCCTGGGGGAAGGAGGAGGGTCTTAGACCCGATCTCTGTCTCTCCTTTTCTCTCTCTGTCTCTTTTAGGCCATCTCTGTGTCTCCTCCAGTCTGCAGACCTGCGAGTCTCAGAATTTCTCGGCCTGGAGGTCTCGGTGTGCCTCTAGATTCTCTGCTCTGTCTCCCCGCTTCTCTCTGTGCCCCTGCCTCTCTCGGGCTCTCTGCCTCTGTTTCTATTCTCTCTCGCTCTCTGCCTCCCCCATTCTCAAGGCCCATCTCCCTCCC